ATTTATTTGTTTCAACATAAACCAATTTAAGTATTTACATAGCGATAATTTTCCATGAGAAAATTGTTCGATAGTCTTTCTTGACAAATTGTTCTTGATAGTCCTTGCATAACATTAGTTAGTACCCATACAATGCACCAGATACCAGGAACATGAACGGGTGGGTGGGTTTTTATAATAATTAGTGGCCACAAAAATATTATTTAAGGTGTGATTGTTATGTACTGAATCGTATAATTTACCTTTGCTTCTGAACGAATAAATGTTATTTGCACTTCGAACCCCAGGATATCATATATGTATTATTATGCAATTAGTAAAATTGGCACCGAAAAAATGGCACTGGGAAGATGGGATATGAACAAATAAAAATTATCACTACTTGGCTCCTGCATTACAAATGATTGTTTCAAATGGGGAATTGTTTTTTGTGTTCTCAAATAGTCCAGACGCGACTTGGAATTTAATTTCAAGTCACGGCACTTTCTTCGAGACCCACAAGTTTGTCAATCTTATATTGCTCGTTTGCAATCGACGCCATGTTGGTTGATTTTCGTGACAACTATATAAAATCTATATTCTTCATTCTTTGTCGTATTGTGACAGTAATCGTAAATTATCCATAATATAGTAAGATGTTTTCAAAACAAACAAAAATATTAAAGTAACTCAACTATTTCGATGTAAACGGCTGGACAAAACTTTAAAAACAACCAAGATGGCGCCTAATGATACGTAGTGACGTCATATGCAAGCAAAGAATTGTGAGGTGTTATCCTCCTGAAATAAAGTTTTTATCTTATCTGATCTTCAATTTTGATTGGGGAACTTAAGAGATGCTTAATCTAGTACCCGAACGTGACAAAAATACTAGTTTAAATTTTTTTTTCACCTGTATCCTTTTTTAACAAAAAGAATCTATTGTTTTTACTCATGTTGCTAACACTGTCAATTTAACGTGTGTTTTTGTCACATCCGCGTAGAAGGTGTCTCTGTCTGAAGTCGTGGGTTTTCTCCGGGTGGTCCGGTTTCCTCCCACAGGGAAAGTTGACAGGGTGTGATAGGATAAACACATTAAAGTGCCCATGCGACAATTTTTTTTATGATTGAATTGCAAAGTTCATTTAAAATCATAATATAACTTTTTTTCTAAAACTTTGTATTCTTTCTTGTATGTCAAGATTTTTGACTTTGTTTGATATACAAATGTGACTTGAATGACGTCACACTGCATAATGAGTTTTTAGAAAGAAAACGTTTCCTTGCCAAACATGTGATAATTCCACTGAATAAAAGTGATATACTTTAAGAGCTATCAAAGCGATCATTTCGTCTGTAAATTTGAGATGAGAATTTTAACAAGCTACAACACAGTCTTCTGTAAAAGCATTATACAGTGTGACGTCATTTAAGTCACATTTGTATATCAAGCAAAGTCGAAAATCTTGACATACAGGAAAGATTACAAAGTTTTAGAAAACAAGTTATATTATGATTTTAAATGAACTTTGCAATTCAATCATAAAACAAATTGTCGCATAGGCAATTGTTGTAAAGAACAATTTGCAGGCTAATTATGTAATTATGTGGGTGCAATACTTGACGTAAAGCTCATTTGATCATATATCCGCATGAAAATTTGCGCTATAAAAATGTTAATCTTAATATCTTAAAGGCACAATTTAGCCTTTTGAATGATGGTTTTAAGGCGCATTTCAGCCCTTTTAATTGAAAAAACTAACTAGGAAAATCAATTATGCATAATTCAAGATCAGTAAACTGAATGTTTTTAACAATAAAAGCATTTAAATGTTAAAAGCATTAAGTTTACTGATCTTGAATTATGCTTAATTGATTTTCCTAGTTAGTTTTTCAATTACTGTCGATGCAATGGAAGTGTTGATAAAATATTGCATGAATTCATTCCCTCAAGTTGATCCAATTCATTTGATAGATTTGATAGAAAATTGATCAACTTCCTGTTACTTTTAGGTGAGCCAATTAGATTTCGTTTCAGAACCGATTGACCAATAGGAAACGCACAGGAAGTAAAAAGAAATTTGAATTCGTATGAATTGATCAATTGAGGAAATGAATTCATGCAATATTTTATCAACACTTCCATTGCATCGACAGTAAAAGGGCTGAAATGCGCCTTAAAAACCATCATTCAAAAGGCTGGACTATGCCTTTTGAAAGCTCTCTGTTAGAGATATTCATTATAACTAAGAGTGGGACTGAAGTATAGATATATATTGAGCTCATTCGACCTAACCTACTTTTGTACTAGTGCCAACTCTCGACTGATGCCAATCCTTCCTATTTCCTAGAAGCACGAGTGTCGGACTGTGATTTCAAAGGACAGGAAGAAAACATTGCTACTATAACAGCGTGACCTTCATCGACATCTTGAAATTTACAAATGGGTGCAGGGTCAGACAAGCCTGGTAACGACGTTTGTTTCACGAATGTTTAAGAGTTTTTATGAGTGTCTGAAAGTACAGGAAGAAAACAATGGTACTGTACGACGTGACCTTCATCGACATCGTGAAATGTACAAATGGGTGCAGGGCCAGACAAACCTGGTAACGATATTAGTTTCACGAATGTTGAAGAGTTTTTATGAGTGTCGGAAAATACAGGAAGAAAAGATTGGGTACAACGTGACCTTCATCGACATCTTAAAATCCGGTAAGCACATTCGTTTCACTTTTACTTTACTATAAGGCCCAGGTTCACGCGCCTGGTACATTTTGATTCTATACGTCGAACTCAATATGTCGCTCCCAATGTAAATCATGGATTAACATAAATATATAAAATACATGAAAATAAAGGACATATAACATAGATTAAAATAATTGATGCATCAGGTTCGGTGCATGAGAAGAACGACGTCTGAATTGCTGTCGCTCCGAGTCGCATAGTGCGTCAAGGTCGCTCCAAATGCTTAATCCATTCTGTCAAGCGCAACCTAGTCAAACGTCGCTGTTGTGTAGCGCTTAATGCAGCTAAACATCATATTCACCTGAGTACACAACACCAACACAAAAAATCATGACTACATAGTAATAGTTTTGTTTGTGGAAACACCACGTAAATTTATTACTGCAAAGCTTTCGATCCGTAAGCCCGGATCTTCATCATGCAGTGTTAATAAAATATGAATTTGCTGGCATACACCAAATTATCCACTATATATTCAAAAATTTCTAGGAACCGTTAAAATTATTTCGCTTTGGCCTGATTGAGTTACCTTAAGGTCCATACAGACCGGACGCGATTCGATAACTTTGACCCTAGTTTAAATTTTCCAAATATTTAGAAGCGCTATAACATTTTGAGTTATTTGGTCTACTTGTCTTTCAAAATTTGCTCTCATTGGCTGTTTTATTACCTTTCAAAAACTAAAAAATGTCGTCGCGCTGTCGAATCGCGTCCGGTGTGTCTGGACCTTAACGTTGTGCTTGGGTGTAAACAAATGCTAGCCAAATTTGTCTATATGAACTGCTATTGTGCGTTTTTTTAGTAAAATTTATTGATGGTGGTAATGATAATTAGTTTTACTATCTGTGCCAAAAAGCTGCTTCCGTGTTACGATTGGTTAATAAGAGCTTGCTTTCGCTGAATTGCTATGTTACACACCTCCGCAGTTTCGATTGTGAACGGGAATTTCACTGTGGAGAATCGATCCATTACTTGGCAGTTTTCGTGTGCACGTTGTTATATAACGTTTGAAGTTCCCCTTGTTTTGTTGCTAACCGACGCATTTTCGTTTCGTGAAAAATCTGCAGTTCCGTGTTTATCATGAGACTTGGGTATGCTCTAGAAGATGATTTGTGTATGCGTCATGTCGCCGGAGGAAATTCAAGGATGGCCTTTGCGCTTCCTTGTAGACGAACACTTTATGCCAAATTTCATGTACATTGAAGGGGTGGTGTAGGTGACGTTGTTTTCCAGCCAAATCGGGCGAGGTAACCATGTAAACAGGTTGATTCAGAAAACACGACGCGACGTGAAAATGACGTTTGCACCTCGCCTTAAATACTTGTTATAACTTCATGCAGTTCACTTTGTTCTAAAGTGTTTGTTTCGGTGAAAATGTCAGTTTTGTTGATTTGTTATGGCGACGAAACTTGTCGACATTTGTCGAAAATCAACACGTCCAAAATTTTGCGAAATACCTAAAGAAAAACAACCTTGTCAATAAAAAAACACTTAAGTAGAATTATTATAAACAATACATGGGGAACACAATAGGATAATCTGTGACGTCCTAGGGAGGACGTGCACGTCGTGAGATCAACAAAGACGACGTCGGAATTCACACCGGAAGTAAAATTCTTCTTGCCACTCCATTTTCACGTCGTCTTAGACGTCGCGTTACGCCACAGATTTTCTACATCTGTCTAATGTTACATTGAGGAGACTGGTGACTATGTTTTAAGAAAGTTGAGAAGGCTGCTTTGAAGAAATTCTTCGGTTCAAATAATTCTAACATCAGAGAAGTATGAATACAATGCCCGACACGTGCAGTTAGCACGGAGCAGCATAGGGCGTATTGTGCAGATACTTCTGTACTCGGAAGCAATCAAACACACGGAATTCGTTCTCACTGGATTTTTGTTTCAAAATCCGTGCTATGGAAGTATAATTTTAAATCTTAGTTGGAAATTTTATGAAAGTCCATCTTCCATACTATGCTATGCGTACACACATATACATTATTCAGTACATTCCCCATAGGGGCTCTTCATTGACCGATTACATCAAGTATTACGCTTTATGTTACATACTTAGCCTAGAGTATTTATTTCTCTTTACAACAATTGTGGAGTTTTGGCAGAGTGTTGACGGACTCTTTCACATGAGTCCCAAGTGAGAATCGGACCCAGGATCTCAGAGGTGAAAAGCACTTACTCTGACGACTGTGCCACCGAATTTCCCCTTGTATAGTATGGGAATAGTGTTGATGTACCATAGATTTATTGATGCTAATATGATTTCCATATAGTATGGAGTCCTTGTATAATATGGGAATAGTGTTGATGTACCATAGATTTATTGATGCTAATATGATTTCCATATAGTATGGAGTCCTTGTATAATATGGGAATAGTGTTGATGTACCATAGATTTATTGATGCTAATATGATTTCCATATAGTATGGAGTCCTTGTATAATATGGGAATAGTGTTGATGTACCATAGATTTATTGATGCTAATATGATTTCCATATAGTATGGAGTCCTTGTATAATATGGGAATAGTGTTGATGTACCATAGATTTATTGATGCTAATATGATTTCCATATAGTATGGAGTCCTTGTATAATATGGGAATAGTGTTGATGTACCATAGATTTATTGATGCTAATATGATTTCCATATAGTATGGAGTCCTTGTATAATATGGGAATAGTGTTGATGTACCATAGATTTATTGATGCTAATATGATTTCCATATAGTATGGAGTCCTTGTATAATATGGGAATAGTGTTGATGTACCATAGATTTATTGATGCTAATATGATTTCCATATAGTATGGAGTCCTTGTATAATATGGGAATAGTGTTGATGTACCATAGATTTATTGATGCTAATATGATTTCCATATAGTATGGAGTCCTTGTATAATATGGGAATAGTGTTGATGTACCATAGATTTATTGATGCTAATATGATTTCCATATAGTATGGAGTCCTTGTATAATATGGGAATAGTGTTGATGTACCATAGATTTATTGATGCTAATATGATTTCCATATAGTATGGAGTCCTTGTATAATATGGGAATAGTGTTGATGTA